TCTTTCTTTCTTTCTTTCTTTCTTTCTTTCTTTCTTTCTTTCTTTCTGTTACATGTCTTGGGTTCTCCCTCTGAAGCTCTCAGATAATATTTCTGTAACCCTGGGCATTTGCCAAGGTCTGCCAGGATAATAACCACCTTTTGGCTCACCTTGTACTCTGATGCATTGGCAGTGGAAAATGGCTTAATTGCTTTGAAGGAACCCATGCCAAGTGTAACAACATAACCTAAAGCTGATCTTCGAAAAGGTGCAGATGGCCTGTTTCGCAAGCCTTTAGGCTTGGGGGGTGGGTGGGGGGGTCAGTTCATGCCTGTAAACAGACCTCCTAGAACATTCCAGAAATTTTCAAGGTAGCTTTTGGACTAAGCATGTTCCTTGCCCGGTTTATAGAATGACTCAAGCAAATAAAGTGATTCTGTTCCTTTCTGTTAGTTTGTTCTATCTGGCATTTATTTTTTTCCCCCTAGATTTTAAACATAGAGCGCAATAGTTTTGCTCTCTGGTGGCTAGCAGCAAAGGTGAAGAACTTTCTTCCTAAATCAAAAGGTGTGAAATACTTGTAGTTCACATTAAATTCAAGATTCTCCCTTTGAAACTACTACTTCCATATGGGATTCGGCCTGGTACAATGGCTAGTGCCTCACTGAGAGGTGGAAAGGAGTAAGCTTGAATTTATAGAAAGCTTACCTTTGTTTTTTTTTTTCAAAAGGTGTCTTTTGTGGCACCACTTTTATGGTTTCTTCAGAAGACTTGGCAAAGATTGGCTCTTCCTCCAGGCACTGGGGCCAGGATGTTAATGTCACGCTACCATGGGTGGGTGGGACCAAGATTTTTATCGGGGCCTCAAATTTTCTTTGAAATGATTTCATTTTTGGCCACTACCCACTTTCCATTGGGTCAGATTCTGTAAGTGGTCATAGGGAAAGAAAGAAAGAAGGAAAATAGAACAGAAAGGAAGGAAGGAAGAAAAAGAAAAGGAAGAAAGGAAGGAAAGAAAGAAAAAGATAAAAGGAAAAAAAGGAAAAAGGAAGGAAAAAAGAAAAAGGTGATACAAGTGAAGGAAAAAGAAAGGAAGGAAAGAAAGAAAAAAAAAGAAAGGAAAAAAAGGGAGGAGCATGCTTTGGGAAAATAACTTAATGCTATATGGCAAAACATGCATTGTGTCTTAACTTAGCATGCAAAATTGTACTGTTTGTAGAGGACTTATAATCCTACATATTTATTTACCCTGGACAGTTTACCTAAAAAGAGCTTTCTAATCTAGATGTCTACTTAGAAATAAGCCCTATTGTTTAAAGCCAGCTTTTGTTGAGCCCAAATGGGTTAGTTTGCTTTTGGCCTTAATGCCCCGTGTGCCAATCCAACTGTGACAGTTTAGAAACATTCATTCTTGCTGTGAAAGATGCTTTTGTTGACTTACTCAACAAACCACCACTGAGCACAAGCACTGGAATCTAGTCCATGGCTATGCCCAGGCCAAACAAACAAAAAACAGGGTTTGAGATGTTACATAGTTGCTAAGTTGTAGTTGTAGTTTTAAGATGTTTTTGACGACTCGGCCTATCGCAGCGCATATAGCTTGATAAGTGAACCTAGGCATGATCTTAAGTGAGCTAGGGCAAGTATATATAAAAGTGTGGCACTTAATTTTGTACATATAAAAAAGGATGCTGGAACTGGGGAAAATTACTTTTTAGTGCCCTCTGGAATCTGGGTAGCTATTCACCACTGTTATGTTTCTGTTTCATGAAATTTTAACCTTTTTTCACTTGCTGTAGAGTCCTGCACCTTTGTATAAAGGTTATTATTTTTCTTGATGCCTTGTCTACCTTCTCTTGTTCTTTTTGCTTTTCCCACCCACCTTTTTTTATATAGTTTTCCTGGAAACGTAGGGGGAGGGGGGGAGAAATTTCTCAGTTCACCCAGGTTGACTTTTGGTGTTGCCTGATCTGTGTGTTACGCATCCAGATGTGAGTCACCTCCCTTCAACTTCCCCAATGAGTTCTTGTTTCATTCAGTGATAAGTTTTGGCCAATTCTGTGTTTTGTTTTATTTTTATTTATTTTCCTGGGACAAAGCACTGCTTACTTTCAAAAGGAAACAGCAGTTGAATTGGTAAAAGCATTCTGTGACATCTTTATGAAAACAATAATTTCTAGGAAGTAAAAAAATAAAAATAATTAGGGTTTATTTACCCCCACCCCTAGTTTATGGTTTCTCAGTTTTGCAAGATACAGAATTTTGATCTTTCGTGTTCAGCTGTGAGTCTGAGACAAGACTTGGCTAGGCCCCAGTGAAATTCATGGGAATTAAATTGCTCATGTTTGTGATGTGCACATTCTCCAGGATGTGTCTTTAATAGCAATATTTCAGAAGAGTAGGTAGCAGGTATGTGGATATAATGCTCAAGTTATTCACGGTATTTCATCCTTCCTCAAACTAGACACTCCAAAGAGGCTGTGTGTTAACATTAAAAAAAATATATTTTCTCTGACTACTTTTTATATCCTCCAATTTGAGAAGAATGGTAATTGCTAGAAATACTGTGTTTCCACGAAAATACAACCTACCCCAAAAGTAAGTCCTAGCTTGATTTTCACATGTGCGCCCAATATAAGCCCTACCCCCCCAAAAAATAAGCCCTAATTATCCATGCACCACTCCAGAGTGCATGAGTAAAAATTAAACTAGGGTGGGGATAGCGGGGTGGAACCTACTACTTACCTTCGGACAGGTACAGCCATGTCTCGCACCTCCTGACACCTGCCTTGCTGGCCCATTTCTTCTGGAGCTGGCAAGGCTTTTCTGAAGGCCTCTGTAACCAATAAACAACTCCAGATTGATCTGGAGCTCTGTTATCAGCTGCAGAGTCCTTCAGGAAAGCCTTGCTGGCTGCAGAAGAAGTTCCTGAAGGCCTCTGAAAGCGAAATGGAGGCTGGGGACGAGGCGTGCAAGTGAGATGAGTCAGTGGATGACATCCTCCCCCACCCCCCAAAAATAAGGCCTGTACCTTTTTGTGGCAAAAAAAATATATAAGATGGGGTCTCATTTTCAGGGAAACATGGGTGGTTGTATCTTGTTTGAAACATTACACGCTCACCTAGCTTAAGTCCTTTAAATGATGCTCCACATTTTCTAAAAAATTTTCTTTCTGCATCTGGAATTGTGACTTCTGATCTTCGCTTGCTCCTTCCAGCTAGTTACCCTGGTTGACACTAAACAGATATTTTCTCTTCACTTAGTTTATTTTTATATCCAGACAGACTTGGAGATATTGGAATAAAAGAACGTTTTGTTCATCTAATGGCAAATCTAATTAACATGTAAAGTCTTGTCTTGTCTTTTCATAAATCTGTCTTTCTTTTCTGGGTCAGAAATCAGCAATTTGTTGGATTCTCCATTGTTCAAAAAAAATGCTACAAAAAGAAAAAAAAGCAGGACTGGTAGGAATTCTAAGTAGAAAAGTAGGAAACAAAGTTGAAATAGGAAATATCTGAACCTGCTCTCTAGTCTTCTAGACATTTTCAAGTTCAAAGAAAACAATTTTATTTAAGTTTATTAAGAGGTCTTCCTTCGGAAGCTCAGAGAACCAGGAATAGCTATCAAGAATTATAATCATTTAACACCATCCTCACGTTAAAATACATAGACTCAATTTTACATGCTAGGTTGTAATTTTAACCATAGTTTGTTCAACCATGGTTGGCATAAACAATGTTTCAGTTATAATGCCTGGGATCAGTTCTAAACTGAGATGGATGAATCCACCTGTTTATAAACCCAATTTATAAACTATTTATGGCTTAGTGAATCCAGCTACCAAATCTTATCTTACAAACGGGCTGAGGATGGTGTTAATTTAATAATAAGAATGTTTTCACTTTGTATGTTAGGATTGATATATATTTTCTTAAAGTTCATTTGGGACATGATCAACCCCCCCCCCCCCAATCCAGTATCTTTTCCTTTCTGAAACAGCTATATAAAACTTCCTTTTTTTTTCTTTAAACCAGATGCTCGGATTTCTCTCTGGTCTTATAGGAGCATTTTCTATTCTCTCATTCTTAAAATTCTAGATACTGGTAGTCTTTGACTTATGACAGTTCATTTAGTGTCCGTTCAAAGATACAAGGTCCCTGAAAAAGTGACTTGTTACTGTTTTTCACACTTACATCCATTGCAGCAACCCCAGAGTGATGCTTGGAAATCGGTTCGTACTTATGACGGTTGCAGTGCCCCGAAGTCATATGATCCCAGTTTGCGATCTTCCGATAAGCAAAGTCAATGGGGAAGCCAGGTTCACTTGGCAACCATGTCACAACAAGTGTAGCGATTTAACAACTGTGACAAATGTAAAATGGTCGTAATTTACACAACAACTGTCTTGCTTAGCAACAGAAATTTTGGGCTCAATTGTAATTAAAGGACTGACTGCAGTCA